CCTCCTCCTCCTCCTCCTTCTTCTCCTTCTCCTCCTCCACCTCCTCCTCCTCCTCCTTCTTCTCCTTCTCCTCCTTCTCCTCTTATTTTGTATTCCCAACACTTGGCACCATATCTGGCATATAAAGTCAATTGGGCTTCTTTGACTTTCGATTGCCCTTCAGTCCTAACTAGCAAACTGTAGGCACTTAATAAATAAATGTCTGTTAAAATGAATTGAATTGACAATTTCATGGAAATAAGTGGTTAAATAGAAAAGAAATGTATAGTATTGTGGGTCGGACAGATTGAGTTAATCTTTCCTCTAGAGTAGCCCTTGTCTGATGACCTTCTGAGGTAAACACTGTAAAGGACAATTGCTCTCTTTCACAAAACATCCCTTTGGACTGTCAGAAACAGATGTTAGACTGAAAGAAGCATTAGTCTGGCCTAGTATGTTATGTCCATATCGATTGAAATACAGAATCTGTCTTTTTTGATCATATTGAATATTTTTCAACAGAGAGAAAAATTCTGGTATGTTGGGGATGAAAATGAAAATTTACTTTTCCTTGTGGACATTGTGTCTGGACCAGCATCTGGAAAGCTCCTCCAGACCACTGCTTAGTTCCTTTCAGCTAAAAAACATAAAGGGTTTTTTTTTTCTCCCTAGATGATGTACTTAAAGGTAGAGTATTGAAAGAATGCCATATAACTGTATAAAGTAAAGTAAACCTTCAGTGGGAAATGATGGGTTAATTTTCATGCACAAAAATAACATTTTAAGTCACAATAATAGATTTTTTAAAAATAATGTATTATGTTACATAGTTTGGAAACAAGATTGCCATTTAATTTTTTACTTTGATTGTTTGATGCCTTTTGTAAATAGCAATGTATTTCTGAATATGCTTCTCTTTTGTCCTATAACCAGTGAAATATTCCTTGTAACGTTTTGTGAAAGAGGAAAAAAAAAGGCAGCTTAGCAATGCCAACCAACATAGCAGCCATGTTTGAGAATATATAAAATATTTTATACCTGTAATCTCCTACCTCTGTAATGAAGGGAGGAAAGTTTATTTTCTCAATTCTTTTCTAGAGCCAAACCCGATCATTGTGATTCCACAGAGTTCAGTTTCTTGTGTTTAATTTTATTGGTTTTTTTGTTTAATATTGGACTCATTATGGATATTATTTCTCCAGTTCTGCTTGCTTTACTCTGCATCAGTTCTCATAAGACTTCATATAAATCTCTGAATTCTTCAAACTCAAGCTCTCTTACGGCTCAGTAATATTCTATACATTCATGCATAACAATTTATTTAGCCATTCCCCCATCTTGGGTATGTACTTAGTTTCCCATTCTTTGCTATCACAAAATGTATTACTGTGAATATTTTGGTATAAGTAGGACCTTTCCTTCTGTCTTTGACTTTCTTGGGTTATATATCCTGTAGTGAAATCTGTAGGCCAAAGGGCACAAACATTTTAGTCAGCATAAGTCAAAACTGCTTTTTGAGAATGATCAGACCAATTCGAAACCTACCATTAGTGTGTCTTTTTTCCTATAGGCCATCCAACATTGACTAGTAATAATTGATATGGTATGGACTGCCATTTTTAAAGCAAGGCCTAGATGCTAACCAATATTTTCATTTTTATACCTTCAGGCCCTGCTTTGACAGAAGTTACTAGCTAGCTGGTCACTGACTTTCTGTAAAGTGGCATTAATGATACTGAATCACCTCATAAGAGGAAACATTCTAGGGAGTCTAAAATTTAGAAATTCATTATAAGTCATTTAATCCATACAATAGTTGAGGGACCATATAAGGTAGCTTTTATAATGGCTGTTTGAAGAAATCACGTGAGAACCATATTAGAGCCAAGTCTATGGGGAAGACTTTTAACAAATGTAAATTAAGACCCTAAGGGACCACACAGATGGTTGGGTAAGAAGTCACTCTTTCTCACACTTGGTTGTAAGAGCATGGAATCATAGATCTAGACCTAGAAGATAATTTAGATAAGGAAAGAAAGATCCGAGAAGGTGAAGTGACCTTAGGCAGTAGTGGAGACAATGAGCACAATTGTCATCTCCAGTATGGGGTAAATGAATCTGTATTCTCATCATCATTCAAAATGCATTAAAAAGAAGCAGAGTAGGCAGCTTGACTCTGTCTCTAAAAGAATATGTTTAGGGTTGT